GGCGTTTGCGCAGAAATTTGCAAGTTTTTCTACTTGAGCGAGAATTTGAGAGAATTTTTTCTTACTTTCTGATATTTTAAGTGATGGCTAATACTTGCTGGATTTTCGACGACGGCGTTCGCGTACACAAAAAATTTGCAAAGTAGGGGAAATTAAGAGAGTGAACTGACATTTAAAATTTTTTACTATATTCCTCGGACTCGGACTAGTAAAACTGTTAAAAAATAAAAATTCGCTCAGAGCGAGAGAGTAACATTGAAAAGTACGGGATCGGGTTGTAAATTTTTGTTTATTTTCTATGTAAACATACTCGGCTCACACATGTAAATAGCCAAAAATACTTTCAAATTCATTAGAATCCACTTAAACAAGTAATTAAATACCTTTCAACATGAATTAGCAGAGTGCACTTTTCTTTTGTTTACAATTTGGTTGCCAAAAACACACTACAGCTGATCGTTTAACACATTTACCAGAATTTACCAGCAAAAAATTCTCGGACTAAAACTGGTAACTACTGACAGAGAGAGAACCGAATTTAGTATCTTTTTTGTCCTCCCAATAGTCAGAGAACCGAGTACGCGATCGATTTCCAGTAAAATCTGACTAATTCTGACTATTTCTGACTAGTCTGGACTCGTCCGTACGGGATCGCAACTATTGAAGGACTATGGTTTGAAAATTTGATTATCTGGGATATTATAAAAAGTAAGTTTATAGCGGCCTGTGTAAAATCGAAACACACGCTCTTATTATCATAGATATGTACATACATATGTACGTGAGTACATACTACGAGTTTTACTAAGTAGTACTTCAATTGCTGTCATGTTACGAAAAATAAAAAAAAGACTAAAGCTTTTTATAATATAGTGTTTCCAATGTTTTGGCTTGGCACTTGTAGTTGCTTAAAATGCAGCTTAAAACGTATTTTATTAGTTTTCAGGCATACAATTAGTAAGCTTACAATTACACTCATTTGCACATTTTTATTGCAACAATTTAATACTTCCACATTTACATCGATAAATGAATAGATCTGTATAAAAAACTTGTCACATCATCTATAATTGATATGCAGGCGAGAACATCGGTTCACCAGCCAGTCCGCGCAAAACATTATGCGCAGCTATTGTGGCCATATCGTTGCGAGTGCGCTCGGTGGCTGAGCCCAAGTGGGGAAGAAGAACTGAAAAGAGAAAAGAAAGCGGTAAATAGTTTAGAGTGAGTTGAAATATGTACTTCTTATTATATGAAGTTATTTTTATAAAACCAAGGTAAATCTAAATATTTGAGCTGCGTACTATCACACTAATGCGAACGTTATATAAAAAAGGCTGACAACAAAAATGTAAGCCACTCTATTTCCGTGGCAACATCAAGTTGCAAGCCACTCCTTATAAAAAAATAATTATGCAATAATAAATTCTGCGTTCTCAAAAGAGGGATATCAATTTGACTTTGATCAACTATAATTTTTTCTGCCTTGGGTGCGAAAACAACCCAAAAATCAAGTGTTTTTTCAAAGATTTAATATCACAAAATAATAAAAACAGCAAAAACGTGTTTCCTTTTGATAAGATTGCGGAGATTTAGATCATTTTGCTGGTCGTTGAAAACAGTTCAGATAAAAATAGTCTTATCAGCACCTTGTGAGGCAGTAGGTACTCATTATCAGTACCTCTTTAGACTACAAAAAACATGTATACACTTATTCATCGCATGNTGCAATTCTGCAAAATTTATGGCAAAAATAAAACATATCGCCAATTTATGCCGCAACGCCAACTAAAATTAACTCACCAATATTTGGTAAACTCAAAAGCGGATCATCGGCGGGCAGTGGTTCCGGAGTCATCACATCCAAACCCGCAGCGAATATTTGTTTTGTTTTCAGAGCTTCATACAGGTCCGGCTGGTTCACAACGCCTACATAAAAAAATAATAAAAAAGTTCTACTTAAGCAAACATTTTTACATTTCACCACTACTTCGATACTCACCACCGCGCCCAATATTCACCAACACAGCGCTCTTC